TATAAAACATGTGAGTCAAGTACGAAAATAAATGACAGAGGTTGACGTGTTGACGTGTGACAGAACATAAAATATATATTATTCGTCTTAAATCTCATATTAAAGGTTTAAACAAAGACTTAGGCTTTATGAGCGAATATTCTTTTTTGAAATAGCATTTCTACATTTTGCCTGAGATTTATCAGTCTCCCCTATTCATGCTTGTAACTGTCATGCATTTCAGCTGCCCTTGTTTGGCTCTTTGGTAGATTAACTTTATGCTATTCTGTGTACTTGATAATTTATTCCATTCACACATATATTTATGCTCGTCTTTTTCTCTTATCTATATGATGTTTATAGCAATATACTATGTATAGGATTGATTAATTTGACTTTTAACGGGGTTTTTCTCCGCCTCTATCTAGTCATCTTTATGATTGCTTTGTTTATATGATGCCAATAGTTCTGTACATTTCATTAACGCTGAAGAAGTCCTGAGGACAGGACGAAATAATTTATTCGTTTTTCTATTAAATAATATATATTTTATGTTTTGTCACACGTCAACCTCTGTCATTTATTTTCGTGCTTGACTCACATGTTATACTTATTTGGAACATACGTGCAGCTCATCATTATTTTGATGTCTACTATATATATGTAGTTATAGAGAAATTGTAGATAAAGACATTAAAATTAGTACTGGACATGTACTGTACCATCAATATTGATTGCAATTATAGTTACAATGCATAATTCAAATTTTAAAAGATGTTGAAGGCTGATGAAATGCTGATCGAATCTCTGAAGTTGAGAAATATTAATCTTGCGGTGGTGTGTGGGTTCGTCGACCTTGAAATGCAGTAAGATATCCTTTATAGCAATTCTTTTTTTTTTGTTTAAAATATTTCAAGTTCATTACCGCTACCGCTACCGCTACCGCTACCACTACCACTACCACTACCACTACCACTACCACTACCACTACTACTACTACTACTACCACTACTACTACCACTACTACTACTACTATTTTGAAACAAATTCACTCTTCAAACCTAGAATTACGTAATATATGAAATGTTTTGTTGAATTTGTCCAGGGAATGGTCAACATCAGGTTGTTACGTTGTCTACGTCAATGATACGAAGGTTTTATGTAAATGTAATCACCTGACAAGCTTCGGCATTCTAATGCAGGTTACGTCATACGAGGTATTCTAATTTCTTACTTCTACACCCAAAGAGTATTCAACTGCAAGAGGTCCGACTGGACTGATTTTGTATACACGCAATGAAATGAAACGTTTAAAAAAATACTACCCCGAGATGGGAATACCCTGTCAGACTTGTTCAACCAATTGGCGGCAATTTTTTTTCAAAGCAACTGCTGATTGAAACACTTGATCCTATGTTTGATCTTCTATATTTGTTTTTATTTCAGCCAAATTCACAGCATACCAAGGCTCTGTCAACGCTGACCAATATCGGTTTAATACTGTCTATCACTCTGCTAATTATCACTGAAATTGTATACATGATAAACAAGTATAACTTTTACATTTATTATACAGTTAAATATAATGATAATAATAAGAATAATTATAATAATAATAATAATTAATATTATTATTATCATTAACATTTAATATCATTATCTTTATACCTATTATTATTATTATTATTATTATTATTATTGTTATTATTATTATTATTATTATTATTATTATTATTATTATTATTATTATTATTATTATACTATAATAGCATAGCATACCAAGGCTCTGTCAACGCTGACCAATATCGGTTTAATACTGTCTATCACTCTGCTAATTATCACTGAAATTGTATACATGATAAACAAGTATAACTTTTACATTTATTATACAGTTAAATATAATGATAATAATAAGAATAATTATAGTAATAATACTAATAATTATTATTATCATTAACATTTAATATCATTATCTTTATACCTATTATTATTATAATTCTATTGGATATTGATCATGTGCGATACTAATAATAATAATAATAATAATATTTACTATTGTCTTGAAATAAAAGGTTAACACAGATGAGCTAAATAAATAAGATATAATAAATATGAGACTAGCGCTGTCCAAAAGCTGACAATCAATTTATATATATATATATATATATAGGCCTATATGTATTTGTTTATGAACTTAGATCATTGTGGAAGTCTCTTCGGAACAACATACATAAGAACTTGATTGGCAACATGCTTGCCTTCTACGTCTTGTTTCTAGTTGGAATCGACAAAGTTGATGACACGGTCAGTATTGTTTTCTGGTATATTATAACGAAAATTTTATATTATAATTTATTCAATCATAATTGAGATGATTAATTACAAAAATATAAACTATATAAATATAAAAATTTATAAATTATTATTATAACTCCAATCCATAAGCTCCACGCCACTCGGTACGTGGAGAATCATGTTCGTCATGTGAAGTGATTGTCGCCTATCCAGATATTGAGTCGCTATTGTGAATTCTTGGCCATTAGAAATAAAATTAAAATAACCCAGAATATATATGATTATATATATAATTACAAAAATAACATATGCTGTACATATATTTTAAATAAGAGATTTTAAATTTAAGTTAATGATTACAGTAGCGGGTATGAAGGGACCTTATACTTTGACGGGAAATATACGAAATGAAATTTTTATTATGGACATTAACGTTATCATTATTTTGTTTTTCTCTTAAAACAGAAGATTTGTAAGGTCATCGCGATTTGCCTGCACCTTCTCCTGATGAACATCTTTTTCTGGATGCTTGGAGAAGCTGTCTTTCTTGTATTTAAAGTAATCTACACAACGCCAAGTCCACACAACAAATTGAGAAATTACATGATCTGTTGTTATATATCATCAATTATCATAATTGTACCTGCTGCTACATTCGCATATGATTTATACGGAAATAATGATTAGTAAGCCAAAAAGTTAAAACTGTTGCTTCTCTAATTTAAATATGGAGTGGAGATTGATATCGTAAGGAGTGATGATTGAATATGGAATGGAGATTGATGTCGTAATGTAAGAGCAGCTTAGATCAGTAGGCTAATCTGGTGGTAGCCACTGTGTGTGCGCTAAACCGTGGCGATCTCTAGGTCCCGGTTCAATTCCCATCGCTGCCTCTCCGTGTATTTAAGCTGGAGGACTGAAATACAAGTTATAATAGCGCACCGTCTTTCTGATGAGACGTTTAAGCCGTTGGTCCCGTCTGCATTGATGGCCCATGTGCACGTTAAAGAACGCAGTACATTCGGAAAACAGTAGGGGATTGTCTCCCGGTGTACCGCCCAATCACCAGCAGAAGGGCTCCACTGGAAATAAGTCTTTTTCTAGACTCTTGTGGGCTATCCTTGGTGTTTACACAGAATAAATCCAATCCAATCCAAGATGCTTGCTTTCAAATCCCAGGGCTTATAAATCCTGTGTCAGTACAGGCTTTTTTTTCATGACTAAAAACATCTCCACACACTAACCTCGTAATGTGTTTTGTATCAACATTGGTTCATTTATTTCAGAGTGTCCTGAATATCAGCCGACCTTCTAGATACACTGAGGGTCACCCTTTATGAATATGGTAACAAATGAAATTCAAAACTTTTTTATATATATAAAATCTTTTTTTAGAGGCAAGATAAGAACTAAGTTACAATTCAACAAACTGTATACGATTGATGATAATGCAGTTTGATATCAACTACCTCTGTATCAATCCTTACAGTTTAAACTCCAGTCACACGACAATCGATGATAGAGCTTTTTCAGTTGGTGCTCCTAGACTTTGGAATGATATTGCCACAAACTTCGTGAATCTAAATTCAACACGTGACAAGTCACTTGACATCTCCTTTTATTTCAGTTTTTGGTTTTCTTCTCTCCCTTTTCTATTACCTGCTTTTTAGTGGTAATAATGGTGGACTTATAAAGGGGCATATTGTCATGACCTCTCCTCTTTGTATATTGTTTTCTTCTTTGTTCATTTTTTTTCTTCTGAAAACTTCCTCAAATTGGCACATTGAGACTGTATGATGTGTCTTATAAGTTAAAGTTTGGATTGGATTGGATTAGATTGGATTGGAAAATGATATAGAAAGTTATATTTTAAATTTACTGTTTTTATCAATGAGAAAGATCTTCTTTTGTTTCGTTTAAGTTGTTGGCTGGACAAAGACCTCTCATGGATCATTGTTGCTCCAGCTTTAATAATTATCGTGGTAAGTTAGAAAAACTGCAATATTTAATTTAGCATTTAATGGATAAATTTATTCCTCATTTCATTATAATCGTCGATTGGATCTGACCATGTAACTAGGCCTAGTCTAATAAATCATAATGACAACAAAGAAAAAATGAATGTTGCGAATTTTACGATTTTTACTGCCTTGGAATGTTTTAAGACTATTGTGATATTAGGCCTACTATGTTACCATCATCGGCATTATCATCATCATCATCAACAACAACACCAACACAACAACAACAACAACACATCAACATCATTATCATCATTTCATAGCATGGTTCTGAATTAATTTATTAAAATTAGAGGTAGTAATACTTCAGATGTTATGTACTTTGAACAGGTACTTGGCACTGCACTTCTTTATGATATGTGTCTTGTCCATTATTCATTTTCTCCTTAAGTTTAGTATGACGGTGCTTATTATCATGGTTCATATTATCTATCGTCGAGCTGGAACAAACGTGCAAGCATCGGAAAGCAAAAAGCAAGACTACAAACAGCTTAAGTAATTACAATTATTAATTTACATTCAAAAGTTATATATAAAATTCTTGAGCATTAAAATACAAATCTGAATTGCTTAATTTTGCCTATTGAATATACATTATTAGAGAATTGTTTTAAATAGTAGCTTACGAATAAAATATTCTTCTCATGATCATTTTAAATTCTTTGCATAAAGCTTAATTTTCTTTGCATAAAAATAAAAAAGCTCTGTTTACATAAGATCGCTAGAGGCCTTCACCGACAGCTTTCGGATGATGCTGATTGGTCCGTCAAATTGGTGAGCCTTCGGTTGAAGTGAACACATTGTAGTTAAGTGTAGCAATTTTATTGAAATGAGGCTTAACGATAGCAGTGAAAACTTTGTGTCCAAGTGTAGCGATTTTATGGGAAAAAAAAGGTTTTTCGTATTTTTCTATCCGTGTCTATTACATATGGTCATAATGTGATATCATCATTACCATATTTAAGCATGTCGCATGTTTTTTTTTTCTTTATATATAAAATTTGATAGTCTATTAACGATTAACCGGTAGTTATACTTTACTCTCTTTCTGTTGTATTCATTTTTTTAGAAAATCATTGAAAGGGACGCTCTTTCTGGTTCCTATTCTCGGTGTAACATGGATATTCGGACCTTTAGCGGTAAACGACGACACCATCTTTATGGAGTACATTTTTGTGATATTGAACTCTTTGCAGGGCGTGTTCATATTCATCGTGTATTGCTTGCTGGACAGCGAGGTCAATTATGTATAATTTACATTCGTATTTTCATAGTTCTTATTTTAAATAACATTCTTAGATTTAACGATATTTTCAAAGCACGTTCCACTATCTATATTTAACGGAATTATGCGTGCCTGTAAATATGCCTATACATAATTTACAACAAGTTAATATTGTTTAAATATTTTATATTTCATTACTAAATGTTTAACTTTCTCATTGCTATAATTATTACTATTGTATAAACACTATGTCTCAATTTTTTTTTGTTAATACGTATGTACCGTTATTATTTATTATCATTCGCTGTTGGAAGTAATATGTGATTTAAACAATCAATCATTTTTTTTTTATTTTAAAGGTACAAACACACTGGAAGAAAGTAGTGGGAAAACGTCAAAGTCAAGTTCACACGACTAGTATTACTGCTACAAACTAATCATGATTAACCGTAACTGAAACTTGGTTATTTTATTTGAAAGTGTTGTTGGATTAAGAGTAATCTAGTGACGTAACATTTGTTAAAAATCGAATAAAATGGCGCCTACTATGACTATAAGAGTTTAAAAATTGGAACCCATTTCCGTTTTGTTTGCACTATCTAGTTAAAGCGTTTTCACAATCAAGTTATTCCTAAAATATTCAATCAAACAGATCTACAGATATTTTACAAGATTTCATAGATTGACCTAGCGAACTCACAAGCAGGAATGTGGTAAGGCCAAAGAGAACTCTGGTAGTTGCAGCA